CTAAACCCTAAACCCCAAATACCCTAAACCCCAAAAACCCTAACCCTAAACCCTAAACCCTAAACCCTAAACCCCAAATACCCTAAACCCCAAAAACCCTAACCCTAAACCCTAAACCCTAAACCCTAAACCCTAAACCCCAAATACCCTAAACCCCAAAAACCCTAACCCTAAACCCTAAACCCTAAACCCTAAACCCTAAACCCTAAACCCTAAACCCTAAACCCTAAACCCTAAACCCTAAACCCTAACCCTGAACCCTAGATCATAAACCCCTGAACCCTAAATCTCGAAACCCTACCCTTTAGGGTTTCAGGGTTCGTGTAGGCTTCAAGTATTGTAGTCTGGTTTTCGGTTCAGTAGTTTAGTTGATGTTAACATACTTCATAAGGCAAAGTTTCGGGCTGGATATATTGCTTAGGCCCGAACCCTGCCCTACCCTGCCCTACCCCTTGCCCCCTTGGGTTCCTTGCCCGATCCCCAGCCGTATAAGCCCTGCGTTTACCCAGCCCTAGATAAATCGGGAAGGGAGTGGGAAGGGCACTGGGGTGCGAAGGCATTTCGGGTGCAGTAGGGGTGTTGGGATGTTCGGTCATTCGGTCTGGCTTCCATCAGTTTCTTGGCGTGACTGGGACGCAGGGATTGTGTCAGGGTGGATGATGGGTCAACGGAGCCAGGTTTCAAGTCTTCTGGTTTCGGGATTGGGGTTTAGGGTGGAGGACCCATTTGATTTAAAAATGGCGCACTGTCCCTACCCTAAACTTTAACTTTCAACCCTGCCAAGAACCCTGAACCCTAAACACGAAACAAACGAAACAAACGAAACAGAGCTTATGGTTTAGCAGTCCTCCACTAGGACAAGGCCTGGGAGGGATAATGGGCCGATTCATTTCGTGACTTTGAGGTGGGTGGCTCCTGTAGTCCTAGGCCCAAACCCTGACATGCGAGTGTGAGAGTCGAAACGGCTACTCTGCCGATGCAGCGCAAGTGTTTGCCCGGGACGCCGGCGCACCTGTGGAGTGGAGGATCCAGCGCGCGCCGCGCAGAAGGAGTTCTCCCTCCAGACCAGCTCGAAGAAATCGCTGCGCTCGCCCCGGCGTTGGGCGCCCTACCTTCCGACAACACGGGCCCTGGACGTTCTCGTGCCGGAGGACGACGCCAGTGACAAAGGCTACCATCGACCATCGACTTCGACGACTTCATCTGGAAGAGGGGGCGGGGTGGAGGGGTAAGCGTTGAAACGGGAATCTAGTAGGGTTGCAGTGCTTTAGGCGTGCTGGAGGGTGGTGGCACCGACAGTATATAACCAAGTCAGGTATCCTACAAGCCTACTGTGATAAACTCTGCCCTACGAAACCCTAAACCCTAAACCCTAAATCCCAAACCCTAAACCGGGTTTAGGGCCTGAGGCGAGGTGTAAGGGCTTTAAGGCTAAGGCTCAGTCAGGTGGGAGGGAGCCAGCTTTTAGGAGGTGCTCCACTCGGACACCCTAAACCCCAAACCCTCTAACCTCTACGCCCTACAAGCCTTACACCCCAAATCCTAAACCCAAGGCCATAAGCCCTGAGCCCTCTAACCCCCACTTCCTAAACCATGCTAAGTTCGAGTCTTTTGAGCTCGCAGGGCATCAGGTTCCCAAAGCCCAAACCTTACCCCTAAACACAAACCCGAAAGCCTAGCCCTAAACCCTAAATCCTGAACCCTAAACCCAAATCCGAAAGCCTAGCCCCAAACCCTAAACCATGAACCCTAAACCCTAAACCCCAAACCCTGCCCGAAACTGCCTTCATCCTCGTCCAAGGCTTTTGCGGCCCTTTCGGGTGAGGCAAGGTTCTGGCCTGACACAGGCTCATCATCACGTTGAGGGTTTAGGGTTTGGGGCTTTAGAGTTTGGGGGGAATATTTTGGGTGTTAGGGTTTAGGTTTGGGACAGTGAAAGGTTATTCGTGGCTTTCGGGTGTGGAGCTAGTTCCTGTGCTTGGGGATTGCTTAGAGTTTAGGGTTTAGGACTTAGGGTTGTTGAAAGCTGCTTGTTGTCCTGGATGCTCAACTGGGTGGAGAGCTAAGAGTTTCCCTTGAATCCTCCGCAAACCCTACCAGCCTAAACCCAAAAAAAAAAAATGCGTGCGTAATCCTAGGCCCAAAACGTTAGAAGGCTCAGGGATTTCGAGTTGTACTTGAAGGTTCATGGGTAGATTTAACAGTCGGTCTATGAGGGTTTAGGGTTTTGGGTTTCAAGGCGCCCATGTAGCTATCCTTAACATATGAAGACTCATCCCCTGACATTATACATTTATCTTCACTTCTTTTGTCAGGTTCAAAGTCTAGCCTAGGTTTGGTGGCCATTTGAGGTTGAGAGTTTGGGGTGTAGGTTCGTCATCAGCAGGCTTGCATGTACCCTTTATGGCCACAACCACAGCTGCGCTATGCATAACACCTCGAGCCGCATGATCCTGCCTAAAAGACGTGTGAATTCTGTGGGCTATACCTGCTAGTGAGAGGTGCTTGCTGAAGAACTGCCCGCAGCTCCATAACCCTGAACCCTAAACCCTAAACCCTAAACTTTAAACCCTAAACCCTAAACCCTAAACCCTAAACCCTAAACCCAAACCCAAAACCCTTTCAAGGAAGGCCGGCGTCCCGAGCTGGGGCTAACGGGTCAGGGTTTAGGAGTGGGGGAGCCTGTGCCCCACTGGGAGCCCGAGCTCTAAACCGTCAACCCCAAACAAAGCCAGCTTTAACACAAAGAGGGTTTAGGGTGTAGGGTTTAGGGCTTAGGGTTTAGGGTTTAGGGTTTAGGGTTTAGGGTGTAGGGTTTAGGGTTTAGGGTTTAGGGTTTAGGGTTTAGGGTTTAGGGTTTAGGGTTTAGGGTTTAGGGTTTAGGGTTTAGGGTTTAGGGTTTAGGGTTTAGGGTTTAGGGTTTAGGGTGGGGATTTATAAGTACAGTTATAATTGGGATCATAAGTGCCCATGAACCTCCAAGTAGTCTGCTACAAGAAGCACTCCAAAGAACCCACTTAGAATCGAAGCCCTAAACCTTAAACCGTCGAACCCTAAACCCTAAAACCCGAAACCCCAAACCCCAAACCCTAAACCCCAAACACTAAACCTTAAACCCTAAATCCAAAGCTCTAGACCCTAAACCCTAAACCCTGGTGACTCTGCCTCCCTCCGAGGCCAGGTTTGGCGCTGGTGGCGCGCCGTGGAGCTGGGACAGTCGCAGGGCTCTTGTTTTGCGTTCAGGGTTTAGGGTTTGGGGTTTAGGGTTTAGGGTATGGGGTTTAGGGTTGGGGTTTAACGGCTTATAAGGTTTAGGGTTTGGGGTTTAGGTTTTAGGGTCCTCCAAGCCCTAAACCCCTTTGAACCCGAAGCCTTGGGTTGAGGGGTTGAGGTTCCAGGGGGTTTTTTAGGGTATAGGGTTTAGGGTCTAGGACTTGGGGTTAACCCTAAAGCCCTAAGCCCGTGCAAGGTATTTTAAGGCCCGGACGAACTCGAAGGTTTCAAAAAAAAGGGGGCGTTTGGGGTTTAGGGGTTAGGGTTTGATTGGGGTTAGGGATTAGGGTGCAGGGCTTTAGAGGTTTTGGAAGTAGGGGCTTGGGGCTGTTGAGGGGTTTAGGGGTTTAGGGTTTCAGGGGTTTAGGACCTAAGTGCGTCGGAGAAAAAAGATGTGTTCAGGCAATTAAGAAACCCCGAAACCTTGAACCCTAAACCCCTGCAACCCTAGCATGAGAACCTTAGGGTTTAGGTCTGGTGTTTGGGCCCTAGCACTCGGGGCTTGGGGGGTCTGTATCTTGCCTGCAGCTGCATCCCGAGCCCGGTAGTCATGGCGAAATGGCGAGGGGGCTCCCCAGAAGCACCCAACCACCCCCAAGCTGCGAGGACTTTGGGCTGAGGATCCCTAAATCCCGAGACTCCTAAGCATCGAAATCCTAACTCCCGAAGCTCCGAACCCCTAAATCCCCAAAACCCTAAGCCCCCTAACCACGCCTTAGTCCCTTAACCCCGATAGAATACCCCCGACCAGGCCCTGCGTTTTGACACCTGTGGACATGTCGCAACGGCCTGGGTCTGAGCCAGAGCAGCAAGGTTTTGAGTGTTGGGGTTTTTTTGGAGGTTAAGAGGTTTAGGAGTTGAGAGGTTTGGACTTACAACTGCAATTATAGCTCATTGATAAGCAGCTTAAGCAGCCTAGTGTGGATACAATCGGGTTCTAGGTGCTATCATTGGGTTACTAAGTACCATGAACCTCCAAGTACACCTTAAGGAGGTGAAGTGGGAACACGAAGAGAGAGGGCCGAAGACAGGGAGCCTGAGAAGCATTTCAGCAGCCCGAAATCCTCGAAGTTCTGAAGACCTGAAAGACCTTCTAAAACATGTATTGGGATGTTCCCCCTTATACGAACAGTCCTTAACAGGGATTATAGTACACCCTAATTGTTACAGTCCCTCTGAAGGACGATCTAAGGACTGCTCGTAGAAGGAACATCCCCAGAACCAGGGAGCAATTTGGGCCCCAAAACACCCCAATTCCCTTCCACTCCCCTTGGGGTAGTTACATGGTCCCTGAGAAATGGGTCCTTCAAAGGGGAAACATATACCCTGACTCCCGGCAGAGCAGAGCATTCATGAGGTTTTAGGGAGACTCTTCGAGTATGGTTGGCCTGGCCACCCTAAACCCCTAAACCCCTAACCCCTAAACCCTAAACCCTAAACCCTAAACCCTAAACCCTAAACCCTAAACCCTAAACCCTAAACCCCAAACCCCAAACCCTTACCCCAAACCCTAGCCCTAAACCTTTTCAAGCGACTGGTCTGTACAGGATGCGCCAAAAGCCTTGAGACTGGAGCCTGGCGACCAGCCAAGACTAAACACTCTGAGGCCTCGAGTTTGGGGTTAGGGTTTAGGGTTTAGGGCTTAGGCTTAGGGCTTAAGGCTTAAGGCTTGGGGCTTAGGGCTTAGGGCTTCGGGTTGAGGGCTTAGGGCTTAGGGCTTAGGACTTTCAAGGGCTGGCCCTGGCTGCGCGGCGCCCGGGCCGCAGCCAGGGCGGCAGCGGCCCCTCCGGGTATCCGCTTGCCTCCTTCGGAGGCTCCGGCTTCGGGGCCTTGGGGCTCAGGGGCTTCGCTCCCTTCTCCTTGGCTGAGTTCTGAACCCCTCCGAAAAGTTTAACTTTTGGTTTCCTTATGGTAGTTTCTGCAAAAACCCAAAAGGTTAAAGTCCCAAAAAAACTGATTAATAAGCCAAGTCTCCCGCTTCCCGGCTTCTGTACATCCGGCTTTGGCCCTGGGGGAGAGCTCCGCGAAGGAGGGGACGTCCAGGGGCGGCCCGTCGGGGAGGGCGCGGCTGACGAGGCAGAGCCGCCTTTGGCGCTTGGAGACGACGTAGAGCTCCTGCCAGCAGAGGCGGCCAGGGCTTGCCTAGGGCTATCTTCTATCGATAGGTAGACAGATAGATAGATAGACAGATAGATAGATAGATACAACTATGAAGATAAACATTTAAAAAATGAAAGAGAGAAACAGAGAGCGAGAGCGAGAGAGAGACCCTCAGACTCTAAAACCCAAACTCCCCCCCCCCAAAAAAAAAACAAAAAGAAACAACAATAAAACAACCTGCAAACCCTAAACCCCAACACCCTCAGCGCATGAGCAAGGTCTGCTCCCAGACAATCCCGACTAATCCCCCAAAGCCCTAGAGCCCCGACTGCTCTAAAACCCATAACAAAAATCCATTGGGGTTTAGGGTTTAGGGTTTGGGGATTGGGCTTCAATGAAAAAAAATCGACAAGAGCACCGCGCCCCGTCGAGCGCGCGTGTGGCGCTAAACCCGAAACCTTAGACCCCTAAACCCCCTAAACCCCTTAACCCCCTAAACCCTTAAACCCCTACGTAACCCTGACCCCCCTCAACCCTCAACCCTAAACCCAAAACCCTCCACCCTAAACCCTAAACCCTCTGCCCTAAACCCTATACCCTCAACCCTAGACCTTGCACCCTACACCCTAGACCCTAAACCCTCTGCCCTAAACCCTATACCCTCAACCCTAAACCCTAACCGGTCCTTCGCCACCTTCCGCAAAAGATCCCGGTTGTGCGTGATGAGAAGGACGGCCCCCTTGAACTCCTGGGTGTAGGGTGTAGGGTTTAGGGTGTAGGGTGTAGGGTTTAGGGTTTAGGGTTTAGGGTTTAGGGTTGTTTAGGGTTTAGGGCTTAGGGCTTAGGGTTTAGGGTTTAGGGTTTCAGGGTGCAACTGCCCTCAGAGAGGTCCAAGGCTCGGCGAGTGCCAAGGACAGCGCCTCAATGGAATAAATGTCCTGCACGGGGGTTTGGGGTTCAGGGTTTAGGGTTTAGTGTTTAGGGTTTAGGGTTTAGGGTTTAGGGTTTAGGGTTTAGGGTTTAGGGTTTAGGGTTTAGGGTTTAGGGTTTAGGGTTTAGGGTTTAGGGTTTAGGGTTCAGCATCTCAAGTCCAAGCATTCACTAGTCAAGCAATTACTCCAGGAAAATACCCACCCGCCCAAAGAATCCCACAACATTAAGAAAATATTTTACTTATAGAACGACCTTGCCCATGCCCAATAAAACGGCGACCTTGCCCAGTAAAACGGCGACCTTGCCCAGTAAAACGGCGACCTTGCCCACCACTCCGCCGTTTTACTGGCTAGGTCGCCGTTTTACTGGGCAAGGTCGCCCGTTTACTGGGCAAGGTCGATTTTGGTCAAAAGTCGACCTTGCCCAGTAACCTTGCCCAGTAAAACGGCGACCTTCGGGGTCCAAGGTCGCATTTTTACTGGGCAGGGGCGGAAGCCGTTATACGCCGGTTTACCGTCGCCGTTTTACTGGGCAAGGTCGATTTTTTGACCGAACTGACCTTGCCCAGTAAACGACCTTGCAGACCTTGCCCAATAAAACGGCGACCTTGCCCAGTAACTCCGCCGTTTTACTGGGCAAGGTCGCCGTTTTACTGGGCAAGGTCGCCGTTTTACTGGGCAAGGTCGCCGTTTTATTGGGCAAGGTCGCCGCCTTACTGGGCAAGGTCGATTTTGGTCAAAAAATCGACCTTGCCCAGTAAAACGGCGACCTTGCCCAGTAAAACGGCGACCTTCGGGGTCCAAGGTCGCATTTTTACTGGGCAGGGGCGGAAGGTCGCCGTTTTACTGGGCAAGGTCGCCGTTTTACTGGGCAAGGTCGCCGTTTTACTGGGCAAGGTCGATTTTTTTGACCGAACTGACCTTGCCCAGTAAAACGGCGACCTTGCCCAGTAAAACGGCGACCTTGCCCAGTAAAACGGCGACCTTGCCCAGTAAAAAAACGACCTTGCCCAGTAACTCCTTAACATTTAAATTATATATGAAAGAGAGGTTTAGGGTTTAGGGTTTAGGGTTTAGGGCCTTAGGGCCCCGGGGCCTTCGGGAGGGTTTAGGGTTTGGGGTTTAGGGTTTGGGGTTTGGGGTTTGGGGTTTGGGGTTTGGGGTTTGGGGTTTGGGGTTTGGGGTTTAGGGTTTAGGGCCTTGGGGCCTTTCGGGCTAGGGCCTTGGGGCTTTAGGGCTCCAGGGCCTTGGGCTTTGGGGCCTTAAGGCTGCAGCTTTAAGTTTGGGCTTTAGGGTTGTAGGGTTTTTAGGGTTTGCGGGCGTTAGGGTTTGGAGTGAGTTTTGGACATTTCAGGTTTTGCGTTTTAGGGCTCCAGGGTTTTTAGAGGATTTGGGGTTGTGGAAGGGAGAAGGGATTTCGTGCGGTTTAGCCATCAGTATATAGAATATATGTATATGTACTATTTATATATATTATACTCTATATACTATAAAGTTTATGCATATAAATTGAACCCATATTGTATGATATTCAGACTGTCCGAATATTCTGTCATATTCAAAATATCTCATTATTTTTAAATTCTCATTGATCTTCAGAAATACCGAAATGGTTCAGACATTTTTTTTGAGACTTGATCTTCGTAAAACCTCAAAATAAAACGCCAGGAAAAGGCCACACCTACAGTCCGCAAAGCTGGATGAGCCTGGCATAGACTTGTAATCGGAAGGTGGGTCTGCGGCGATTAGCTGTTGCACAAATCCAGGTTCATGCTTTCCTGATCCTGGCAAGAGTAAAAGCATCCGAACTGTTTGGATTACCTGACCCGGGGTCTAAAACGACCCGCATCGTTTTCCCTGCCACGGTTGCCGCTTGTCTTGGTGTCCTTCGTTCATCCATGGTTGGTTTGCTCACATGTCTCTTGCTTGCCGTCTCATTTCCCTCCAAGACTGCCTACAAAATGCAACACTGGGTAAAAAATCATTAAAAAAATAAAAAAACATATCTGGCCAGCTGCTTTCGGACGGCTTCCTACGTTACCGCCCCCTTGTAACACGGCTTCAGGCAGCCATCTTGAAGCGCCGCACGCACCAAAAGACAACGATACACGCACATACGCACGCACGCACGCACGCACGCACGCACGCACGCACGCACGCACGCACGCACGCACGCACGCACGCACGCACGCACGCACGCACGCACGCACGCACGCACGCACGCACGCACGCACGCACGCACGCACGCACGCCCGCACGCACGCACGCCCGCACGCACGCACGCACGCACGCAC